CGAGTCTTTTTGCGGTTGCTCGAGGTTAAGGAGTTCCGCAAAGTACTCTCTCCATTGTCGAAAAATGCCCTCTTCTACAGTGAGAAGGCGCCCTTGCGTGCGCTTATGATCGAGCTTTTTTTACCTCAGAGATCGTGGATAATCTTCGAGAATTCCTTGTTTACCGTCTGGAAATTCGATTGGAAATGCATTATATACAGGCAGTTCATTTTATGCAGCGGATTATACTCCACAGTTAACCACGACAAATCTTACGTTGTTTATCAGATTAACTGTGAAAACAGCCATCGATTCTACATCTTTAAAACATGCAGAACCCTTTACGTGAGAATGAAATAGCAGCGCGAAGCTGTTAGGAGGAACCGTCCAGAGCACGTTCGTTTGAGGTCAACCATATCTTCAGCATTCTTGACTGTGAAGTACAGGCTCAGCCTGCTCATGAAATAATCAATATCTCTATCTCACTTAACAAGGAAAGGATGTACAACAACGACACCAGCTCTTTTATTATATGATTGGGTTGGAAATCTTTGATGTAGTCAATAAATAATACCTCGTCATCAATTTTCACCACTTCCTTACCCCTGCTCCAGTTTCAAAACCCTGATAATCTGCTTTGTAAAGTTCTATCTAGTTGTATTTTCACATGGAAATTTTTCTTTTAATTGAAGTGTATACTGTATCACTGTGTTGTTAAATAATTCCCAGATGATGGCTGTTATGCTTGAAGTAGAAACGTCTGAAATAATCAAAGGAGTATCTTATGTCACTCCCAAAACTATTGGCATTAAGAAAAAGGGAGAAAGTTTTGTTACTTTTGCGTGTATTTAAAAATAACATTCCATACGACATTATTATTTAGTTTATTTAAGAACGATACGGAGACCATGGAAATACTCTTATCTATGCTCTTTCTAATAGTGCCTTCGGACTCACTGATATGTACAGACCATCTCACTATGTTAAGTTAGTATTCCAAAAGAATGGTTGGTTATTCCTGAAGTATATTGAATTTGAATTTATGTAAGACTGCGAAGATTAGTTATCCACTTCTCTCATCCAGGATAAATTTTAAAGAAATAACGAAACTGAGTAGGTACCTTCTCATAGATTTAATGCATTGATTGATATGATTGACAGAGCCCAATTGACAATGGCATATGCAACATTTTTTGTCGTTTTTTAACCTGGAACAACGTCATCGTTTGAGGTTGTTGTTCCTGAAGAATTGATTTTAAAATTATTATTCTGACTTTTAGGTACTGTTATGTCTTGGGCGGAGTTCATACGATCTCAAGAAGAAATTGATGGGGTGCGTTTTGACTGGAATGTCTGGCCACACAGTCGAATAGAAGCGCAGCGTCTTGTAGTGCCTATCGGTTGTCTTTTCACTCCGCTGAAGGAACGTCCTCAAGACGCGGCTCAGCCTCCACCTCTCAACTATGATCCTGTTCTGTGCTCTCGACCAACTTGTAAAGCAGTCTTGAATCCCTATGCGTATGTTTTCGTATTTATAAAGAGTTTATTTACTTTTCATTCTGTTAAAGGCAGGTGGATTATCGAAACAAGCAGTGGGTTTGTCCTTTGTGTTTCCAGCGAAATCCATTTCCCTCGCATTATGCGCAGATTGCCGAAGACAACCTCCCTCCAGAGATGATACCTCAGTTTACGACGGTAGAGTACACACTGACGCGGGCGACAACGTTACCACCAATATTTTTGTTTGTCGTCGATACATGCGTTTCGAAGGAAGAATTGGTAGCATTGAAGGTACCGTTTGTTTTATCTTTTATTATTTTCGTCTTTATGACTGAAAATTAGAAACTGATTTAAGCTTCATCGCTTTGATTAATGCCACTCTTTGTGGTTGCGGGTTACAATCGGCATTCCTTACATTATCGACTTGTTTTCGTTGCAAGCCAAACTTTGGAGTTTGGTTATAGGCTTGATGGTATTGCCATTGAGCGAAGATCTCGAGAGTTGTAAAAGTCTGTTTTAGTGCACTTAATCAAAATAGTGATTATAACTGCATATGTTGGAGTTGACCTTAAGACTAGAAGTAGTTAGTACACGTTATCCATAAAGTGGAGCCAAACGTTTTAGAGCAGATTCAAAGAATGACAGTAAACCTGCCAGGACACTTTTGAACAGGCTGACTTTAATAAACGTCCTTTTAATGATGAGTTAAATGATTTTCAGCACTGATTGCTTTAGTTACTAAAGAGCTTCGACTGTTTCTCAGCGGGTAGCGTTCGACACTATATTTCACGCCACCATTTACTGTTTAGTGCTGACATACGGTAGTAAGATGACTATACGCTCAGAATTCGTGCACTACGGCTAGTCTCAGAATTTCTGTTTGTGCAGTGAAATGTATACCTGCCTTGTCCTGTTTTCATGCGATTAAGAAAGGATTATCCTTGTGCGATGGATCAAAAGCAGGCTGGCGAATGCTGAATAATTTAAATTAAATTTAAATTGGAATGCGGTTTCGGCTTCTGCACTTTAGGTGATGCTACCTAAGATCGGTTTAATGTTGGCCCGCTAGTCAGCCTTCGCTTTTGCCTTGCGCACATTGTCCTTGAAGGCTGGAATTCGGTCAAGATTATGCCAAGATACTTTTAGCGTTGGTCGTCTTTTACTGGATACCCACAGAATGTTACGTCAAGGCTTCATGGTATTTGACTTGTCGCGGTAGAATGCTGAAACTCTCGTTTTGCTGGGGTCTGACTGTACTGTCTTCAGTAAAAGAAAAACTTTCATATTTGATGAGTAAAACATCAGTTTTCGTAATCGCTCTGCGCCAAGTGTAAATGAGTTTTGGAATGTTGTATCAGGTGTATAGCTTATCTTTACACTTGGCGAATGTGCCGCCAAGACTGGTCCGGTACGAACCCATCATTGCCGTGCTGATCTGGTCGCCATGGAGAAAACTCACATTTTAATTTTGTGCATCATCATCCGGTGACACATCGTACATTAAAATGTGGGTTTTATGTTATCTGCCCCATTTTCGAAATAACATTTTCAACAAATTACGTTTTTCAGAAACTTAATGAATGTACTGAATATTTGTTATTATACTAAACAACAGTTTTTGGCATGAATGAGATCTTATATTCACTGTCTACTGCATGAGGTCAGCCCGTCATCGCTCTATCGTTCTGTCTAGTTTTTTAGGCACTGCTTATTAACAAGTTGATCAGTTTCATCTACTACTGATCATTCAAAATGATATCCTTCCCATGCTGCAAAAGTGAACTGAACATATGAAATGACGCCGGTTGACTTCAGCAATTACCCGCACGAAGTATGTGTCTACAAGACGACTGAACGGTGATCGACGGACCTGGATGGGCAGCCGAAGTTGAATCTAGGATGATGTATATAGGCTTAAAACTGTTAACAGGTTTTGTGTTAATTCGGTGAAGCTTATTCAAAAGACTATTTTCTGTTGAAGTTGCTTCGAAAATTGGTGGGATAACACAAGTTCTTAAAGAATAGTACTCATTCCTATTAAATAAGTCATAGTGATGATTGGAAATGTGAATGCATTCATGGAGTTTGATCCAAGAATGCAACATCAAATTACATGACATAGCCCAAAAGCAACCATCGCGGAATTCACGAATTAGTCTTTATCGTTAATCAGCTTGATTGGCCGTCGTATAACTGCCCTGTTTGGCTATCTGATGAGGCCATCAACAGAATTTTTTGTTACCTGCCTTCGCATCAACTGTAAGCATTCGCAGGAAACCCGCCGTCGTTGTTTTGACGGCCGGTAAACTGCAGACCGTAGGGAACATGTTTTTTGTTCGAATAGTTTTGCCACTCTTTAGCAGTTTAACGGCGCCATTCTCAGAAGCCATGTTTTCCACGTCACAGTGATTATAACACAGACTGTGCGCTACTGGTGATAATGACTATGTAATAAATGATAGTTTGTCTGATTAAGCTGTTTTAGCTTAAGCGATAAGTCATTTTATAAAATCAACAGACACTTGAAGGTATCTCGCCGCCTTAAACGAAGTATTTGTATGAATGTATAGTAATTTAATTTGAGCTGTTTCCAAGGCAAGTTTATATTGAACTCGATTTTTGTATTACTGAAGATTTTTTGAAGGTATTTTATAGGCATCTTTGTTGACGGCGTTGAGTCTACTGCCTCCTGAATCAACCGTCGGATTGATAACTTTTGGACGAATGGTTCAGATACATGAAATCGGCACCGAAGGTATTTCTCGCGCGTACGTGTTCAAGGGCACAAAGGAGGTCACA